TGACTAAGGCAGCCTATTATGATGACTGAGATGTGTAGTAGAGTTGTGTAGGGGTTCAGTTTTCAACTGTTTGTTTACCAACTGTGACTTGGATTTGATCACTTGCTTTTGACAGTCATTTATGCATCTAGTTCAGGGAATCAGAATGTGAGATAGAGCATATAGGTAGCCATGTAAGATTTGAGCCTGCTCGTTTCTTTCTTGTGCGATAGATCCCTCTTCCATGACGTGTAGCATTCACGTTGTCACTAGCTAAGATGATGGAGGCATAGGATTAGCCCATGACCAAATTGACTGTCCTGATGTGTCATATCCTCTAGTCAGCCCCTTTGAGCCGTGTGTTATCCTTTCTTTCGGTCTACATTCAAAAATCACCCTTTTTGCATCTTTTAGAAGGTTCCACAGAGTGGTTTTTACATGTTTTCTGCTGTTTCTGCTAAATGTAATGTGAGGGTTGGAGGTAGTGCTTAAAAGTTGGGCATTTGTTTGAAAAATGTGTAGAGGTGGTGGTTCTCTTAAGGAATGAAAAGAAAATAAATAAAGAAAATCAAAGAAAAAATAAAAGCAAAAGAGAGCCACCACCAAAAATCTGAATTGTGCCCATTAAGTAGTGTTTCTTAGCAGTCTGGCTTGGAAATGCTAACATTTATATAACCTCCTTCGCTCTCGTGCCCTAAAGAATTTGAGTAATGCAGAATAGCAGAAAGAAAGTTATTGGTTTGCTTGGCTGTGATTTTGTTGGGTTTGGAAATGTGGAACCTTGTGCTATTACTTCCACCACCTAAAAGGCCTTTTTCCCATGTCCAAGACCCTAGCCAATCATCTGAACCTGTGTCTAAGACCGCCGGATTAGTTAGTGGTGACACCCCATATGTGAACTCTAGCATTTAGAGGCTGCATTCATGGTGAAGAGACGTTAGGGATTGAGAGAATAAGCATGCGTTTTTTTCGCATCAAATTGTCCTGACCCCACTGGTCGAGAGTGAGCGATTCATTTTCTCATATTCTCTATAATCTTTATCCCGGTGAGGACCTAGATTGCTCGGTCTTAATTCTGATATCTTGAGCTTTGTGCATGAAGTGACTGTTTTGAATAAGTGGTTGAGTCAAGTCTATGTTGGTTGGTGAACAGAAGGGAACTCTTCCTTTGCTCGACTTTGTTGCATTCGAATGTCATCTGTGGTGGTTGTCTAGGTTGTCGTTGGAGTTGACATGTGTTAATGTTCGGAAGCCAGTATGATCCACGTGTTTTGTGCCGATGTGATTAGCCCTAAAGCCTGCTTGATTGAAACGTTTTGAGCTTACCTGGTGTCTGACTTGGTTTGCTTGGGGACAAGCAAACGGTTAAGTGTGGGGGAATTTGATAACGATGAAATTGCACATGTTTGCACCCTTAGTTCTTATCCGTTTGTGGAGCATAGTCGTGTATTTTTGGGCTATTTTACATCGGGTTGTGCTACTTTGTCATATTTCAGGTCCCAGGCGTCGAAGGGAAGGCCAAGCACGAGTTTAGGGGCATTTGGAAGTCATTTGGTCGAGCTAGGACCAAAACACGGGGATTGAAACGTTTTGAGCTTACCTGGTGTCTGACTTGGTTTGCTTGGGGACAAGCAAACGGTTAAGTGTGGGGGAATTTGATAACGATGAAATTGCACATGTTTGCACCCTTAGTTCTTATCCGTTTGTGGAGCATAGTCGTGTATTTTTGGCCTATTTTACACCGGGTTGTGCTACTTTGTCATATTTCAGGTCCCAGGCGTCGAAGGGAAGGCCAAGCACGAGTTTAGGGGCATTTGGAAGTCATTTGGTCGAGCTAGGACCAAAACACGGGCAGGGGGCTTGAAAAGCACGGCTGTGTTCCTGGCCCGTGCTTTTACTGCCGAGGCTTCTCCACAATTGTCCTGCACAAGCTCAAAACACGGGCGTGACCAATTCAGAACACGGCCGTGTCCACATCAAAACACGCCCGTGTTTCTCCCAGACCGTGGCCGTGTATTTACCACGTGGCAAAGGGCACGGGCGGGCTGGAGCAAAACACGGTCGTGCCCTCGACCGTGTTTTGCCCAGTGATGCCCTTTTAGGCAGATTTCAGCCAAAAGAGAGGGGGATTCGAGTTTGGAGAGCAAAAACAGAGTTTTAGAGAGAGAAAGAGCGAAGAACAAACCCTAGGAGCTATTTGGAGTGGATTTCTCACCATTGAAGCCCAGATTGCGTCCCCAGGAGTGAAGATTGACATCCCAGAGCTGATTTTCCTCATCTTTATGAGTATGACTACTCTGATTTCTGTTTTCCTTTCTCTCTCTATGGAGTAGAACCTTTCTCTCACTTGGGTATGAAGAACCCTAGTTCCTTGTGTTAGGGATTTGATTGTAATGACTTGGGATGATTGTACTGTTTGGTTTTAATCGAATGATGCATGTTTATTGAATTGATTGAAGTCTTATCAGCTTTTCTTGATTTCTGCTGCAACCTGAGATAGATAGAATCTGATTAGGTTGTTAGAGCCTCTTCATTCAATAGTAGGAGATTGGTTATACGAAAGTTAGCCAGTTTACTGCTTTGTACTGGAATTCAATTCCAGTAGTGGAGTTCTGTGTTCATAGCCTCAGCTTTCTATCCCGGTGAAGACTAGTCGTCTGCCGGGTAGTTAGACTGAGAGGGCTTAGTCAGCTTAAGAGATTCCAAGCTACTGTAGGATCTTCCGCAGTCTAATCAACAGTGAATCAACCCAGGGTAATTACAATTGAACCTAACGAATGAGCTAGGGGGACTCATTCCCGAGTGACTCTTTCCTGCTTTAGAAAACCGAACCATTTCATGCTTTCTTATTGCTTTTGCTTTAAACACGAATCAATCGAATTAGTTGGCTAGATAATAGATAATTACGGAGTAAGCAGTAGATCTAGACCCCGGGTTGATAATAGAACTTGCCTGTTACTGCATTCCCGGACTGCGATTACACTTGGTCGCAGTTTGGTGTTGTGTTTTGGCGTGTCACAGACCCATCCGAATTATGCAGTTGATAAACCGGCGGGAGGACATCGCCGACCCCTGAGGACGCACCATCGACCTTGCAGCTATCGCGGGCATGATCATCACCAGGGTTCACCATATCGAAGACAAGAGAAGGATCATATTGCTCTAATACCATGAAAAATTGACCTAGGGTTTGATCGGAATAAGAAAACGACACCAGAGAATTACGTGATATCCCCGATAAATTGGGATTAGTCCACGGGAGAGATTAGATCTCTCCGACTGCAGCTCTTATTAGTTATTGTGATAATGATGGTCGTAGCCGAGTACAAGTATTTATACAACCCTGTTTAGCATAATCATCAACTAGGGTTTTATTCTTTTTACTCTCGGACGTGTACTTGTCACCCTATGCATGTACAGGGGCCAATACGTTGGGCTGAACTGAATGCATGCCCAATATGACAAATTTCCACCCACGGGTTGGCTGCTAATGCCTTGATACATGCCTCAATTTTCCTTTACTTGTGTTTCTCATTCTTTAGGTTTTTTTTCATTTTCTATAATCATGAAATGCCTGTTTCATGGTCATCCCATAACACTTAGCTACCTTTACTCAGTTTGTATAAATAGTGTTGTGTTCTTGGTTTCAGTACTTCACATCCCTTTTCTCCTTTTCCTATCACAACAATGTTTAGGATCCTTTTAGCATCCTTGTTTCTCACTACGATAACTTGCATTTCATCTGTCGAGGCATGTCTGCGATGTGGCAACGTGGAAGTCCCTTACCCTCTAAGCACTAGAGATGGTTGTGGAAACTCTAGGTACAAAATCTATTGCAACAACAGTGTCCTAGAGTTCATGTCGGCCGAAGGGTTTTACTATCGAATCTAAAGCATCAACTCATTTGCTTCTAGGCTCGTTTTAAGCCCACCTTTGATACAGAGCCGCTCGTGTTCCTCTTCCGACCTCAGGATAGGAGGCCTTAGGCTTGTTGGTGATTCGCCCTTCAACATTTCACCCGTAACATTGTCATGTTGTTCAGCTGCTCTAACAACATCCTTTTTTCGTCCCTGAATTGTTCCTCCAATAGCTTTTGTCGTATGTTTGAAGCTCTGGATGTGGGGAGTGGATGCAAGGGCACCCTTTGTTGTCATTACTTGAAAGATTCGTCTATGAATTCTCACAAGATCAGGGTTCGGGTTGGAGGATGCACTGCTTACATATCGGAGATCAACGTGAGGCCCAACGATCCTGCTGAGGCGTGGAATTATGGCATTGAGCTACAATGGGCACCTCCCCAACTATGACCTTTGTCGTCTCTCAGCTCGAACCAACTTCATCTATATCATTAATCTTGTTCTCTCCTCCAAGCGTTTGAGATTGTGTAATTTTTCCATGTCCATGTTTCACCGTACTATTGTGTTCATCTTGTTTCCAGCTTCCTAGCTTCATTGTTATGCATTGATTTCAAAGTTCGATTCTACAATGATCGGTTATAATCTGGTATCAAAAGGATGTGCTAGTTTGAAATAAAAATTATGCTTGAGGATTGACCATATGAAAGTTTTTGTGGGTGAATTAAGGAAACAGAAAGTCTACTTGTATTATTAGTTTATAGATATAGATTGGCCAGTTTTATCATTTATGAACTCATCATATAAACAAAGAAAAGCCAATGGTTGACTACTTCCACTCATTGCTCAACAATATGATAAATACGGCCTCACTGTACATGCATTTGATTGGGGATGCATGATTGATGGAGACACCATCAATTCATTGGGTAAGGATTCGTTCTTTTTATGCACATACTTGCGAGTTATGCTATATTAAGCACAAACAAGTCGATGGAGAATTCTTTCTTAAGCAGCTGGAACTTAGGAAGTGTATATTATGTTTATTCATTGGACAAGGCTGTCTAAAGCAGAGCTGCAACTCATTGAAGAAGGCTTTCTTGAGCAACCACTAGCATATTGGTGACATTAATAGTTTAAGGTTTACTGGTAAAATCGTTAAAAACCGAACTATGATGTAACGAATCGAGTGAAAGAATTATGATGTTGATATTGGCTTGTGTCTTCCCAATTCAAGCCAAAGGAGGACGCTTTCTGCATGCTATGGTGGTAAAAATATGTCAGCAAAAGCAATTTCGTCCTTCAAATTCTTTACTTACAAATTCTTCATCAAGCTGTTAGTAATTCAATCAACCAAACTATGACAAAAGACAAATCCACATCTCTATCTGTCCAGACAGAAGGCGAACTCAGTCCTCTGTTACAAAGGGTGAGGGCACAAACCGGGCATCATCAACAGCAGCACAAACGACTGGGGGGAAAACAAAGGAAAATGATCAAAGTACCTATTCCATCTAAAACCCTACTCATTTCTTACACATTGGATTACAAATCAATACGAGAAGCTCGCAACAAAAAGAAATCAAGCATGCTCCCGTCTAGGAAAAAAAGAAATAACATTTGGCGGTTATGTACTCTTGTTACCAGACATTGATTGATTTGCTTTGCTTTGCTTACACAGTCACTGTGTGTCTGCTTGGCCGCTTCCCTTCCATTGCGTCTTTCTTCTTCCGACAATTAGTGCACAGGAAGGGACCTTCCCATGGCTTTGATCCAGGTGCAAAAAAAGGACCTGAGTTCACTGAGAAAACATCTCCTGGCGTTTGGTCCACCTGGCAGATCGCACATCTATAGAGGCCTGCATTTCTGTCTGAAGGCAAATCTTTCCCCAGTCTGCAATTCACACCATTCAAAACGACAAAAGCATGAGTGAGGAAAAACAGAACATAGAACTAGAGCCTTATAGTGAACATCTAGAACTAGTGCTATCTGGGGGGTAATGTAGCAGTTCTAGAGGTAGCATTGGTTTCAGAACGAAACCAACACATCGGTTCTTCAGTTAACCAAAATTTCAACCACATTAGAAAATATTCGTCTAAGGAAATAAAAAAAAGAACCAAGATGATATACAGAACATCCGCTAAAAGTAAAATGCATTGCTTGACTTCTAAACTCCAAGAGAGAAAATCCAACAATTATTAATGAATCAATAAGTGAAATTATAGGTATGAAGTTCAATGTCCTTAAATTACAATCAACACCAGCATGATCCAAGTAAATTCTAGTGAGTTTTAACTTGTGGAAATTTTCAGCAATGGGTGAAAGGCCCTAAAGGGATCAGACAATATTGGTTACTTTGGCATTGGTTATCCAAAACCAAAAATCCTAAAATGAACAGCCCAAACAAAATAATCCGGTTTTGGTTAACCAAAAACTAAGGAAGTTATTTAGTTTTGGTTTTACCAGAAAAGATTTTCCCACAACCATATTGAACCAAGTTGTGCAGGAAGTTCTTAACCAAACTAGATAACTTGTGATTATACCTCTCTGCAAGCATAGCGGAACCCTCTTCAAACAACTCTTCGACAACACCGACTGCTGAAAGCTTATTCGCTGCCTTGTTCGTAGAACTCGGGGTTTTCTTTCCAATGAAGAGTGAAGTGAGCATATTGTTCTTTTTCCGGGGTGTTGTGGGTAAGATAGGACGGTCTGATGGAATGATGTCAACAACAAGACATGTTGTATCATCCTTCAAGCCCCTCGACCTTAAAGCTTCCTGAAGATCCAACCAAAACCAACTCTTGTAGGAATCCAAAAGAATTTTATATGGGAATCCATCTAAAAAATAGTCTCACCTTAACAACTAACTTAACAGCAAGCTCTGCAGGTAAACCTCGACAAGACTTGGCAGCCAGATCGGAAGATAAAGCATCCCAGATACCATCTGAAGCAATGATCAGTCTTCCACCAGCATTCGAGAGCTAATATTACGGAAAAGTGTTCATAATAAGGTACTGGTTACAGAAAGGTTTTCCTCCTATAATTAAGGCCAAATGATAAGGTCAGAACTTACTTTGACTTGTTTAACATGCGGTATCGGAACGATATACTCCCCGACGTCAGTGTCACCAATTGACCTCGATAGGCATAACCCACCAGGCCAGCATCGCAAAGGACCAACCTGCAAATAAAGATAACGTAAGGCAGACTGAAGCGAAAGTAAAAAAGGAGCAAGATGATTTCTCGTTGGTTATTAAATATCTCAAACATAAGTTTCGAAAGAGGGATCGGACTGCACTCATCTATACCTCATTACCCCCAAAAATATTGAGTCTTCCAACTTCACCACCACTTGCAGTCACACGCTCCCTCTCTTCCACATTCTCTTCAAGCCTATGATCAACCGTTAAGAGGGATACTATGCCTCCCTGAGTATCCAATATGCATCGAGAATCCCCGACAGAGGCAACAGTAATCGTCCACCCATCAACGACAACAAATGTCACGGTCGTTCCAGAGGTTTCACCTATCAGTAAGAAAAACAAAGATTAGAACCATTTTTATAAGATGTAACTGGAAGTGAAAAGCGGAACAGGATTTAAGGTGCAGACCTCTCTGCTGAAATTCTATATCAGTCTTCACAAAACCAGCAACTAGGGCTCGGGGAAGGGATTGAAGCCATTCTTCTCTGCTAGCTCCTTGAGGGATTGCACTCATAACATTGTCCAATAAGTGCTCCTTTGCAAAAATGGCCGCCGAGATGCCATTGTGTCCATCGAAAATCTGCGAACCGAAACAAGGTCAAGGGTTTTAGATACCTGCAGTATCATGACCACAACCATCCTATTTCCATGCGAAAGGGAACAAATTGGTACCGCGAAGACAGAAAACGAGGAAGACGGGTTTCCAGGAATCCTTTGGCAATCGGTTTTTACTAAGAAGTAATCTTCCCCTTTCTTTGCAAGAGCAGCTTGTCCATACTTCACGAAAGGTTTCTCAAGCTTCTCGTTCCTTAGCTCACGACCAATTAAGGTTGCGAGTGGAACAAGAGGCGGCTTCGCCCTTGGTACTTCGGCCTGGCTCATGGTAGTAGTTCAGGTGTCAACATTTCCACAACCCCATAGGCATAACACTATCCATGCTGTGAACCAAATTCCTTTAAAATTTTAACCACCTTCATATTTTAACAACAAACAGATAAATGGAGACGGATTCGGAACTAATAAGCTTGGGCACAATCAAGAAAAAGAACCTTAATTCCTTTTCTATCATTAGATAATCTCAATCACAAGTCTTTGATGACATGCAACTCCTGGCACTTCCTTTAACTCAGTGAAGAGCAAGTAATTGACCAGAATTAGCAAGACCGCACGCAGAAGTTCATCTCAACTTTCACCAGCTAATCTGAAATTTAGTTGATCTGATATTGGAACTCATCATCGCAATGCATTCAGATAATCTATAGCAGCAAACTAAAACCACTCAAAACCCAGAAAAGAAATTAACACATGGAAAAGAAAGAAATCCCTTATTCAACAGAATTCACAGAACTAATCTCCGCAACCAAAGAACAGTTTCACGTTTAACCTTTCTGCACCAATCTACCTTCCACGAAAGACATAAAATTCACAGCAGACCGAACTTTTCAGCTGAAGAGAAGAAAACCCCAGAAAGGGCAACTCACAATGGGAACATGGGTAGGCATTAATAGATCCAGCTTTGGCAGTAAAGGATCTACAAGCGCTCCATTCCCCGGCGACAAAAAACGCCAATTTCAGTGAAATGGCAGAGCTGCCGGAGAAGGAAAAATTGCAGCCGGAGAAATTAAGGAGAGAGAAAGAGGGAAGGTGGAAGTGTTACAGAGAGAAAGTGAGCGAATTTACAGGTGGTTTTGGTTATTTGATTGGAGGAGAAATCTAGAGCGAGAGAGGACAAAGAAGAGGACGACGCGGGTGATTTTTTTCTTTTCTTTTCTTCTCTTCTTGCTTTTTTCTCTCTTTCGGTGGGGGTCGATTTTTTTTAGGTTTATATCCTAATTTGGTATGAAGTTTGACCTAAGTGTTAGTTTTGGCTTGAATTTTTCAATAATATTTATGACCATGCCACGTATAAGTACATTCTTGATCGTCTGGACAAGAAACTTGTAGGGTGGCGTGCAGAGACTCTCCTTGGCAGGGCGGGTTACTTTGGCAACTTCAGTGCTCACCTCAATGCCTACCTATACCATGCAAACTACGTACCTTCCGATCTCTATCTGTGATGCTATTGACAGGAGGGTACGTAGTTTTATCTGGGGTTCTACGGCGGATAAGAGAAAGATCCACCTAGTGCATTGGGAGGGCATTTGTCGACCAAAACACGAAGGCAGACTTGGTCTGCGCCAAGCGCATGAGCTTAACCTTGCCTTTCTGGCAAAACTTGCTTGGGGTTTCATCAAAAACCCAGATGAACTGTCGGTGCAGGTGCTACATGCCAAATATTTCTGAAATTCGAGGGGAACAATGGTGGCGAAGTCCATGGTGCGAGCCTCTTCCCTTTGGCGAGGAATGAGAAAGGCCTGGCCCATCATGACTTCTGGAATGGGGATGACGGTGAAGGATGGACGCTCCACGAGTTTCTGGACGGACCGTTGGGTGGGTGGCGCCGTGACTCTCCTCGATCACGCTTTGCTAGATGGGCCATTACCGGACCTGGCAACCCCAGTTGCCAACTTTGTCAACGACCAAGGTGAGTGGGACTTGCCCCTCCTCTCAGATTGCTTGCCACCTGACCTTGTCTCGCAGGTAGTCGGAGTGCAGCCTCCGATCGCGGATTCAGGCGAGGACGTCCCCATTTGGTTTCCCGAGGAGGATGGACGGTTCCGCGTCAGATTTGCCTACGCCATCGCCACTTCCTACGACGAGTCCACCCAACAGACTGATTGGCGCACCATTTGGCGGTGGGAGGGCCCAGCCCGGACAAAGCATTTTCTCTGGCTGGCGATACGAGATAGACTGTTGACCAATGCTGAACGCGAGCGGCGCCACCTGACGACAACCACAACTTGTCCTCGATGCAAGCAATCTACTAAGACAGTCCTGCATGTGTTGCGGGACTGCCCCTTTTCCCGGTTAGTTTGAATGCAGCTAATCCCTCTTTCTGATCACCAGCGCTTCTTTGCAGTTCACAGCAGGTTTGGATCCTTGATAACCTCCGGCATCAGCACCTCAGCCTCGAGTTCGGTATTACTTGTTGGGCCCTTTGGCGGTCCAGAAATGATCTTGTCTTTGCTGGAAAGATCGTCCCACCTGAAGCCTTCATACAGCGGGTCCGAGCTTGGTTACCTGTAGTGAGGGAAGCTCTGGATCAGGACAGGCTCATTCATAGGCCTAGTCCACCCGCCAGAACAGAGGAGCTGATCCACTGGCAGCCACCTCCTCCTGAGTGGGTTTGCCTCAACTCTGACGGCTCCGTTCTCCCTTCATCAGGCCATGCTGCAGCTGGTGGTCTAATCCGTGATCACTTAGGACGCTGCTTAGCAGCGTTCGCTATTAACCTGGGCACATGCTCTATAACCCAGGCTGAATTGAGAGGCGCTGTTGAAGGCTTACAGGTGGCGTGGGATGCAGGTCATCGCCGAGTACTAGTTCAACTGGATTCCCAATGTGCGGTGCAGCTGCTGCAAGGCGAGACGTCCGATGACCATCCTTATGCGGCCTGCTGTTTTGCCCCCAGCCCGCTCGTGTTTTAATAGGGGGGAAACACTGCCCGCGGCAGTAAAAACACTGGCGCGGAACAGGCAGAACACGGCCGTGTTCCAGCCCGCCCGTGTTTTGCCCTCCCCCCTATAAAAGTCGATTTTTCTTCTCGTAGGCGTGGTAACGCCACTCCTCCAACTCCAGCAGCTGCAACTTACGTTCTGTACCTGCAACACTCAAATCCAGATTTAGCAGCTTAATGGCCCAGAAGGCCTTGTGCTCTAGCTCTACCGGCAAATGGGACGCCTTCCCATAGACAAGCCTATAGGGAGAAGTGCCAATCGGATTTTTATAGGCAGTCCTATACGCCCAGAGAGCATCATCGAGCTTGGTGGACCAATCCTTGCGGGACTAATCCACCGTCTTTTCAATTATTCGTTTTAACTCCCGGTTCGTCAGCTCGGCCTGCCCATTTGACTGGGGATGGTAGGTCACCGACACCTGATGCTTAACGCCATAGCGAGAGAGGAGTTTAGTGAATTGCCCTTGGAAATGGGTTCCTCTATCACTGATAATGGCGCGAGGTGTCCCGAACCGGGAGAACAACTGCTTCAAAAATGAGCAGACCCGTCTTGCATCATTGGTGGGCATGGCTTGAGCTTCTGCCCACCTCGAGACGTAGTCCACTGCAACCAAGATGTACAGATTGCCAAAAGATGGAGGGAATGGGCCCATGAAATCGATACCCCAAACATCAAAAATTTCACAAATAACAGAGATATGTTGGGGCATCTCATCCCGAGAAGAAATGTTACCTGACCTTTGACAGCGGTCGCACTGTCGTGCGAAGGTGTCTGCATCCTTGAAGAGCGAGGGCCAATAGAAGTTTGACTGTAGCACCTTCCGCGCCGTGCGGTTTCCTCCATGATGACCTCCAGTAGGTCCCTCATGACATTGAGACAGGATGTCTCCCATCTCATGCTCCATGACACAGCGCCGGATCACGCCATCTGCTCCGATTCTGAAGAGGTAAGGATCCTCCCAGAAGTAGTGCTTCAGATTGGAGAAGAACTTGCGCTTTGCATGAGTAGCCATCTCCTTGGGTAACTGCTTGCCAACCAGATAATTGGCAAAGTCAGAATACCAAGGGGCCACGCTGTCCACCAGTGTCATCGCCAGCAATCGCTCACCCGGGAAGGAGTCGTCGATCTCTTCCACGAAGTTGTCCATCGGAGGGGCTTCCAACCGTGAGAGATGATCTGCAGCAACATTCTCGGCTCCTTTCTTGTCCCGGATCTCGATATCAAACTCCTGCAACAGCAGGATCCATCGGATGAGCCTAGGCTTTGCATCAGCCTTGCTCATCAGGTAGCGAATCGTCGAGTGGTCAGTGTAGACCACCACATGGGAGAGCACCAGATAGGGTCAGAACTTGTCAAATGCATACACCACAGCGAGGAGCTCCTTCTCTGTGGTGGTGTAATTCTCCTGTGCATCGTTCAAGGTCTTCGACGCGTAGTAGATGGGCTGGAAGTGCTTCTCGCGTCTCTGACCCAGAACTGCTCCGACTGCATAGTCACTCGCATCGCACATCAGCTCAAAAGGAAGAGACCAGTCAGGAGTTACCATGATAGGTGCATGGGTAAGCTTCTCCTTCAAAGTCTCAAATGCAACTGTGCACTTGGGAGTGAACTGGAATGGTGCATCCTTCTCCAGCAGCTTGGTCAAGGCAGGGCAATCTTCGAGAAATCTTTGATGAAGCGCCGGTAAAAGCCTGCATGACCCAGAAAGCTGCGAATCCCCTTCATAGAAACAGGGGGAGGTAGCTGACTGATCGTCTCAATCTTCACACGATCCACCTCAAATCCCCTGCTTGGAGATCTTGTGCCCGAGCACAATACCCTCACGAACCATAAAATGGCACTTCTCCCAGCTGAGTGCCAGATTAGTCTCCTCGCACCTCTTCAGAACAAGTTCCAGGTTATGGAGACAGTGAGTGAAGGAGTCTCCATATACCGAGAAATCATCCATGAAGACTTCCATGATCTCTCCAACCAGTCGGTCGAAGATCGCCAGCATGCATCTCTGGAAGGTCGCCGGTGCATTGCACAGCCCAAATGGAATCCTCCGGTAAGCAAAGGTACCAAAGGGGCAAGTGAATGTGGTTTTCGCCTGATCCTCCGGTGCAATAGGAATCTGGAAGTAACCAGACATGCCATCCAGGAAGCAATAAAACTCATGGTCAGCCAACCTCTCCAGCATCTGATCAATGAAAGGTAGGGGAAAATGATCTTTCCTGGTGGCGTCGTTCAGGCGCCGGTAATCGATGCAGACTCTCCAGCCAGTCACGGTCCGCATCGGGATCAACTCTTTCTTCTCATTCGGGACCACAGTCATCCCGCCTTTCTTCGGGACCACCTGAGTGGGACCGACCCACTTCCTATCAGATATAGCAAAGATGATCCCTGCATCCATGAGCTTCACAATCTCTGCCCGGACCACTGCCTCCAAGTTAGGAGACAATCTCCTCTGCGGCTGCCTGACTGGCTTAACCTTATCCTCCATCAAAATTTTGTGGGAGCAGAAGGATGGGCTAATGCCTCTGATGTCTGTGATCTTCCATGCCATGGCCCGGCATACTTCTGCAGCAGAGCCACCGACCTGCTCTTCTGCTCGGGTGTCAGATTCGAGCTAATAATGACCGGGAGCTTATTCCCCTCCCGGAGAAATGCATACTCCAGGTGAGATGGGAGGGGGTTAAGCTCCAACTCTGGTGGCTCCTCCAATGATGTAGCGATCCGGGGCGAGATGGGAATCGGCTTGAATGGTATCTCTCGCCCCTCGATCGCAGCCGCGTCCAGCTCCGCAAGCTGCTCCTCCAGCTGCACATCCTGTGATGCCTGTTCCCCTAGCAAAAGACAATGCACAAGGAAATCATCAGTACCCGCACTCGTGATGGCGAGTGCGGTCTCAAAATCAGCAACAACATCACAGTAATCTAGATCATCATGGAGCTGGGGGTGTTTCATATTATCAGAAACAGAGAAGGTGATTTGTTCACCCCCAGCTCTCAAAATCAGTTTTCCATCATTCACATCAATAAGCGCCTTGGCGGTGGCGAGAAAAGGTCTACCCAGTATTAATGACACATCAACATCCTCATTTATGTCCAAAATCACAAAATCAACAAGATATGAAAATGGCCCTACTGCGACTATCAAGTCCTCTGCTATACCCCTAGGATGCACAATGGATCTATCAGCAAGCTGGATGCTCATCCTAGTATTATTGGGTTCACCTAGGCCTAGCTTTTTAAACAGTTTATAAGGCATGACATTTGTGCTAGCGCCTAAATCCGACAAGGACTTCCCTACATGCAAACTACCAATCATGCAAGGGATAGTGAAACTCCCTGGGTCTTTTCGCTTCTCTGGTAGTTTGTTCTGCAGGATGGCAGAACACTCCTCGTTGAGCATCACCGTTGACAGCTCCCCAAGCTTTCTCTTGTTGGTGAGGAGATCCTTCATGAACTTGGCATACTTGGGCATCTTCGATAATGCCTCCACGAAGGGCATGCTAATGTTTACCTGCTTCAGCATTGCCATGAATTTGGCAAACTCAGTCTCCAGTCGGTCCTTGTGCAACTGAGTAGGAAAGGGAAGCTGTGGTACATACTCCTTCACCACTGGTTGCGGTTTAGGAGCAGGCACCTCAACCTCCTTCTCCATTTCTTCCTGATTAGCTGGAAGTGCTGAAGTAGGGGTCTCTCTCTCCTCTGCCCGAACAGGTGGATCAGCAGTCACCTTGCCACTCCTGGTTGTGATGGCACTGCAGTTGGCGTTCGGGTCCTACGAGTGAGGGATAGTCTGACCAGGCAAGGTACCTGGAGTCCTCTGAGCGACAGCCTGGGCAACACTCCCAAGCTGGATCTGTATATCCCGCAGCACAGCCTGCGTATTTCTCTGACCAGCTTCTAGCTCCAAGAATTTGCCTGAAGCTTTCTCCATGAATTGCTCAATGTTATTGAATTTATTTGCACTGGAGGTGTCCAGAGAACCCACCAAATCTCTTAGTTCTGCCATCGGGTCACTCTGTACTGGGGCTGCAGGTGCTGCCCCTGTCTGCTGAAATGGTCGCGCCTGTGACTGAGGTGGAACTGGCCCCTGTCTGGGCGGGTAGAGTGGCTGTTGTGGCTGCTGAAATTGCCCCTATCTGGGCTGGTACGGAGGCCTCTAGAAACCAGGTGGTCCCTGGGGAGCTGGTGGTTTGGGGTTTGCCCCAGCTCAAGAAAAGTTAGGATGCTGGCGCCACCCTCGTTATAGGTGTTGCTGTAGGGGTCGAAGCGCCTGGCATTACCGATGAAGTCCACCTGCTCCTGGGGAGTAGACGATTCCCTCATCTCCTGACAATCCTCCAAGGTGTGATGGGAGCTCTCACACCACTGGCAATGCATCGCCTGCGGCTGTCCTGTACCTGCAATCAAACCAGAACGATCGATAGCTGAAACCAGCTTCGATACCACCTGCACCAAATCAGTTGACTGGGTGCCCACAACATGCACACCCCGTCCTGGTGCTCGTCTCGATCTCCTGGTAGTGCCCCAATCGTATCCGTTCTCCGCCATCTCCTCAAAGAGTTGATTCAGCTGTGGCGGTGTTTTGGTCAGCATGTTCCCGCCACAAACCGAGTCAATCAGCTGCTTGTCCTCCGGGAAGAGGGTGTGATAGAAGGTGCCCACCTTGAAAGCATCATTGAAACCATGATTGGGACACCTGAGAAAGAGACTGGTGTATCTTTCCCAAGCATCCCTGATGGTCTCATCCTCATCCTGAGCAAAATGTGTAATTTGCTTCTGCAGGTTAGCCATCTTGGATGGAGGATGGTAGCGGGTGAGGAACTTGTCCGCCAGGTTGGCGAACATGGTGATAGAGCCCGGAGGTCAAGTGTCTAGCCACTCCTTGGCTTGCCCCTCCAGAGTGAATGGGAAGTACCTCAGCTGGATGGCATCTGCTGGTACCCCATTGATCTTGATTCCATCGATGAGCTCGTGGAA